AAGATGAGGACAATAGTCCGAATAATGTAAATAGTATCCCCAATCTGTAATTTATATGTTGAGCTGTCTCTTTTGCTAACAACCATGCATTCAGTCTTCTTGCAATTGATATTTAGTCCTTTCTTCTTGTTTTCCTTCACTACATTCTGTAGATGTTCTTGTAGTTTCCATCTATGTCTTTTATCAAAACTGTGTCATCTGAATATCTTTTGTTTAGATTGTGGCTGCTAATAATGAATCTTAGTAGAACTTTTAAATCTCTCAGCATGGCCTCACTGAATAGGTTGAAAAGGTCTGGTGAGAAGATGCATCCTTGTCTTACACCTCTCTTTAATTTTTTTCTCTCCGTATGCAGGTGGTTTGCATAATCCAGTATAAGTTCTGGATTATTCTAATATCCTTCCCAAATATGTCATGGTTACCTATGGGATCCAACAGTTCTTCATGGCATACTTTATCAAATGCCTTGTATAATTTTTATAACATTTTTCTCGGCAAAAATAGTTGCCTATATAGTGCTTTAAAGACAATGGAACAAGAAATGCGATATTTATGCTCAGAATGATACCAGAAAGAGCAATACAAATGCAAAAAAGACGTATATATATATATATATATATATATATATATATATATATATATATATATATATAATTGTTGTACTTGATTGATTTTAGCATTCCCAATTTGTAATTTGCATGTTGGATTGTTCCTTTTGCTAACCACCATGCATTCTGTCTACTTGCACTTGATAGTTAGTCTTTTCTTCTTGCTTTCCTTCACTACCTTTTGTAGGAGTTCTTTTAGTTTCCTTTCCTTGTCTACTATCAACACTGTGTCATCTGCATATTTTATGTTGTGAAGATTGTGACAGCCAACACTGAATCCTGGTAAGACTTCTAACTTTCTCAGAATCACCTTACTGTGAATATTGTATAAGTCTGGTGAGAAGACACATCCTTGTCTTACACCCGTTTCTATTACTGTATACTTATTGATTTCCTTTACTGTCCTTATGCAGGCATTTGCTGCCAGTATAAGTTCTGGATTATTTTAATATCCTTCCCAAATATGTCATGGTTAATGAGCAGTTCCAGCAATTCTTTGTGATGTACTTTATCAAATGCTTTTACATGTAACCAATAGAGAAGTAAAAAAAAAAATAATCTAAGAGTTGTGAAAATAATAAATAAAATTCTTTTAAAAATATTTAGGTGAAAATGGCATTAAACTTTACATTTTTAATATGAAAGATCTGTTTTGTCATCAGCAACCAGAAGAATTTCAAAATCACACTGAAAAATTACAAGTAAATTTTTTCAAAAATACTAATTGTAGATTTTTTCCTTTGTTAAATCTGAAAGAAAATAATTTTTTTATTAAATTATGTCACAACAAAAACTGAATTATTTTTGTAAGGCTTTAGGACAAACTTTTCTGATCATATATTGCAAAAAATTTTAACTCAAATATCTTTAGGGATTTTTCTTTATAAAACTATAAAAACCATTTTTTTCTTCAACAAATTTTAAAATCATTCACAATGTATCAAAATGGGGAGATGATGTCACCAATTATTTCTACAAAGTTTTCTAGTAAAATATTCTATTCAGTATACAATTCATTTATTAATGAACTAGCAGCATGACCCGGCATTGCCCGTGCTTGATTCAAAAATCGTACGACTCATACAACAATCGCTATCACTTGACTTAAAATATTTTGCCCTTCCTTGCCTTTAAAGGAGTGCCCTTTGCTGTGCTGATGTTGCTACATGCCTTACTTCTTGCCTATCTCACACTGCTAATTTTTTCTAAGCTCTATACTAAACATTAAATCTGTTACAAAAAAACTAAACAAAATGAACACAAAATGATCAGCTTTAAAAAGGACTTGTAACTGGAAAAACCGAAAAAAAAGAATGTTTATTTTTTCCCAACCCAGTTCTGTGGACAAATGTTGAGTTTAAGCATTTTTTTTGAGCCAATTGCTAGCATGCTGCAGATTTAAATTTTTCCCATGATGAATGCAGCTATTGATTTTTTTTTTAGCATGCTAGTTAAATTCATTCAGTCAGCTGTTGGCTCTCATGCCACCTATAGAATCTTCCTGCCTATTCGTGGCAGCCAGCAAAATGGCTCTCAAACTACATACAAAATGCAAACTACATGAAAACTGCCATAGAAGCATGAAAAATTGATTATTTCCGCTATCAATGGGAGTTGGGAAATGCAAAGTTGGTCTTGGCCTTTCTGCTAACTTGGAGCATGTGCATGTAAATTTTGGTGCAAATTCATCGAAAATTGCGGCCGTGCATTCACACACATCCTGCCTTTTATAGATAGAAATAAGTTCTGAAAAGTTAATTTCAATCAGATAATTCCCTGATCTTTTGGTAAATTTTTTAATAATGGTGGGTGTTGCCTTTTGCTTCCATTTTGGAAAAAATGCATCCATTTTTGTAAAATTTACATGTAATTTTTTAAAGGTGATTTTGAAATTCTTCCGGTTGCTGATGACAAAAGAGATATGTTTTATTGAACAAAGAATTTTATTTTATTTATATTTTTTTTTTTTTTTTTTTTTTGTATGGAAGATCAAATAGGAAAAAGTTCTGAATTGTCTTCTAGGGAAATTTTTTGTATGGAAGTTCAGATAGAAAAAGTTCTGATTCATCTCCTTTGGGAAATTTTTTTGTATGGAAGATCAAATAAGAAAAGTTCTGAATCATCTCCTTTGGAAATTAATATCATCATCAATTTCAAGTTATATCAGTCCCCACCCTTTTTAGTACTTTTTAACAACTGAAGTGTTAATTAGTGAATTACTTTTCGTTAATGATGTGATAGCAGCACACAGTGAAATTGAGCTTTAACGATTAGTCAATCGTCTAGCAGAAGCATATGATCTCTTTAGGTTGACAATCAGTATCAAGAAAACTGAGGTGATAGGACAAAGGACAAACTCACTACCAGAGATAAAAACTTGGTGGTGAATGTCTGAAAACAGTAGATAAGTTTATTTACTTTGGATCCACCATAACATTGACCCTATCTATGGATGAGGAATTGACAAGCAGAATGGGAAAGGCCACAGCATTGAAGAAACTTATGAAAAGATCCTGGGAAACTGATAAACTTAAGATAAAAACCAAGACTCTAATTTACCAAACATGTGTCCACTTAACATTCCTTTATGAGAGTGAGATGTGGACCTTGTATGCTTGTGTTATATTCCATGCTAATAGGAATATGGAATGGACAAACATGGTGGATAAATAGTAACAGGTTTATTGTAGAAACCAGTACACCAAGCAAGGAAGTAATAGTTATGTGCATGGTCTTCGCAAGTCAGTACAGTTGTGTATGTGCTGTTATCGGAAGACTGCTATTTTTTGCAGAATCAGATTGACTCTCGTTCGCTGTCCTGACGGATACTTATTGGTGGTTACCACCTATAGTGCCATCATTCATGGGGGTGACAGGTTATTCCATCACATCAGCTTGTCAGGAGAGGAGGTTAAATAGTTTTTACATGAGATGTTTAAGAAATACTTTAAAAATTAAATAGCAAGATAGGGCCCCAGATACAGAAGTGCTCAAAAGAACTGGTGTGTATATATATATATATATATATATATATATATATATATATATATTTTTGAACATGTATCCTATATGGAACTGTCATATAGCCTGACGTGCCTTACCGCTCAGCCACAAAGGATTGTTCGGTTGGCAAGGTCGAATTTACTGCTTATAAACTTCAATCTTTCATGAATCTCTTACGTATCAAATGCTCATGGCGTATCAAATGTAAACAAATGACGTCACACATTATGAAATGGACAAAGTCTGACAATTATTTAAAGACATTTTTATGTTTAACATTCTTTTTATAGATACAAGTTTTTAAGTAAATGCTGTTTATAATAAACAGTATTAAACAACATTTACTGGCCTGAATGTCCGAGAAATCTTCTGGGCCAGTAAATGTTGTTTAATACTGTTTATTATAAACAAACATTTACCAAATACTCAACCCGGTGGCTAGGATACAAAGTGTAGTATCTGTGCTTTGTGAGCTGCCGAGCGGGTGTCTGTCAAACTCTCTGCTTGCAGAGAGGAACCCAGACAAGCTCTGCCGAAGGGTGGGGTTTCGTTCGGGGAGGTTAATTTGAACTAGCCCGCTTGGACGGGTTTAGATGGGTTTTTTATTTTTGGCTGAGCCTACGGGCTTGGACATACCCACATTAAAAAGGCCTTGTGCCACATTCAATTCCTGTGGGTGAATTGATAAATACCATCTATAAAAAGAATACCCGCTCGGCCCGGTGGCTAGGATCAAAGTGTAGTATCTGCGCTTTGTGAGCTGCCGAGCCGGGTGTCTGTCGAACTCTCTGCTTGCAGAGAGGAACCCGGACAAGCTCCGCCCGAAGGGTAGGGTTTCGTTGGGAGGTTAGCCGGAACTAGCCCGCTTGGGACGGGTTTAGATGGGTTTTATTTTTGGCTGAGCCTATGGGCTTGGACATACCCACATTAAAAAGGCCTTGTGCGCATTCAATTCCTGTGGGTGAATTGATAAATACCATCTATAAAAAGAATGTTAAACATAAAAATATCTTTAAATAATTTTCAGAAGATGGAAGTTTATAAGCATATATATATATATATATATATATATATATATATATAATATTCTTTACTTTTCTCTCTCTTTCTCATCTTCTGACTTTTAAGTTTAGATTATTGTGCATAATGTCACTACAAAAACACTACGAAAAAGGCCATATATATTTTGAAATGTATCACTAGATGAAGCATTGTTAATTTGTATTTCTTTTATCTTAATTTTAGTTGCTATTCATCTTGACTACTTGGACTGGCATTCTATAGCCATTCATTGTAATCTTATTTTGAATTGCATCATTAGATATTGTTAATTTGTATTTCTTGTTAGATTAACATTGTTAATTTGTATTTCTCTTATCTTAATTTTAGTTGCTGTTCATCTTGACTACTTGGAGGACAATCAGTCTACATGGATTAAAAATATAACTAACTACTGCCAAAAATTGACCTTCCCTCACTTTTAGCTCAGGGATCTTTCCTATGTATGGCAATTGATTTAATGATATTTTTCAGTTGGCTGAACATCATATTTAATCTTTAAACACAGTCTGTATATTTCCTTGATTCCATAGCACCATGATATTTTTACTACATACTTGTATTATTACTAATAGTAGTGTATCAATCTGCATCTTCGATGATGAAAACAATGACGTCTGATTTTGATCATTAAACAGTTAACCTTGAAATTCAGCTTCTCACTGCAAAATATAAAGAAGGGAACATGGATGAACGAAATTTGAAACTAAAAAACAGTTTTATTGAAATGATGCTTCTTGTAGGCATGGACAACAATTCTGGACTTTTCCCGAAAGAACTTGAGGTATGTATTTTTTTTTTCCCCCCATTCTATTTTGTAAATTACTTAAAGGCCACCAAAGGCAGCATTTTTCTAATCCACTTGCTTAGCAGGGTGGTAGCACTTGTTAGGGTCCCAACTATAGGCAAATAGTGAACTGCCAAACAAATCAGTATATTTTTATAATAAAATGACCAACAATATATTTTTATAACAAAATGACAATCAGTACAACAATAAAATATATAAAAATACATTTTTATAGTAAAATTACCAACAATACATTTTATGATCTATAAGCTATTGTTATGATGTTGATTTGGGGTTAGTAGACAAATGCCAAATAACACGTAACAATAAAAAGGGTTTTAATAGGTTGGTAAATAGGTACAGAAATCGCCTGAGTAGTCAATAACTAGCTCAGCTAAGAACTGCTCTGTCTCTGTCTGTCTTTTGACATGCCACTATTTAACGTCTTTGCTCGCAGACAAGTTCATCTTCAAGAGGGGTGGTAGGTTTCCGACACAACAGCTATATATCTAAAAAAAATAACATACCTTTACTCAAAGTATAAAATTACATATGAAATATATTCAGTTGAAACCATAAGCTTGCATTCAACCCTCTTCAAAAAAAAATACACCAGTGAAACCTGATCTACAAACTGATATCTTACAGAGAATACATACTCTATTCATACAAACCTATCCTAAAAATCTTTGATTGTCTTAAAAATAGTTATTTTTAGAAGCCAAGATTACATTTATTTTTTAAATGTATACAATTACTGAAGTTAAGCAACATTGAGCCTGGTCAGAATCTAGATAAGTGACCACTTAGGAATACCAAGTGCTGTAAGTTTGGATGTGCAGGTGGTGTAATGGATAATAGCTCAGAATTGTTAATCAGAGACCTGAGTTCTAATTTCAGTTAGGCTCGTTATATTTACTTACACGCAGATACTCTTGGGAAAAGTAGGAATCCACCTCTTCTCCCTCCCAGCTATGGGTTAATTAGTAAAACTTGTATCAATCAATTATTATTATCTCCAAAATAAAAAAAAAATGTCTTACAATCTAAAAACAAATTTCATCACACACCCTGAAAATAGATTCATATTGCTGCACACCACTGCAAATGACCTAATCTGAGGAAAAATAGAAATTGATTACATCCTGTCACTCCAGTGGGTCTAAAACTGACTGTATGGTGAAAGAAAGGAAACTAAAGCAGTTGTTTCAATTAATTTGCACTAAGATGCACATCATAATAACAAAGACATTTTATACACACACACACACACACACACACACACACACACATATATATATATATATATATATATATATATATATATATATATAAGGTTTATTATCAGAAGGATTTGGTTGTACTAAGTTCAGTAGATGTATACAAGTTCTTGTAATGTGATTGTTAGTAAATGTTTCTGATTTTTGTGTTTGTCTTGGTGAATAAATAAAGTATTTGCAATTGATAAGTCTTATTATTAAAAGATAATATTAGAAATATTAGAGAAAGTGATATTTCTGTAAGACTTATCTGTGGTCTTCATTCCTGGATCAGGTCAAGGTCCACATGCTCTCCTTGTGAGGAGGGATCAATGAAAAGGAAAAAGTTTCTTAATTTCCCACCAGTAGGGCGGTTTCCTTTTTCTTATGGAATCATGGGAATTATTTTTTTTTTTTTTTTTATTTCTTGTGATCACAAGATCTCTATGGTCCTATCCAAAATACATGCATAAATAAATTAAATATTTAAATCTTCTCTATTTATTCATATTATTATCTTTTATTTATTATATTTATTTTAATATTTATATTTTAGTCGTTCTTTTTATTTATATTTTATTTTTTATTGCCCAGCATAAAAGACAAACAATTTTCTGGCTGTCACTGATTTTAACATTAAATAATCCTATGAAATAAATCACCTGACTTGTTATCAATTATCATAAATAATCAACAATCCAATTAACGGATGCTATTTAAAAGAAAAGTGTAGAGTAATTGGCCATGGTTAACTGGCAGAAATGCCCAACAAACAGAATTGACAAAGTTTGCAATAAACAATAACAAGAGAATAAAAAGAACAGGGCAAAAATAATATTGAGCAAACAATACAGGCGAAGCAAAATAATAGCAATAAGGCAAAACAAGAGCAATAAGGCAAAACAAGAGCAATAAGGCAAAACAAGAGCAATAAAGCAAAACAACAGTAATAAGGCAAAACAAGAGCAATAAGGCAAAGCAAGACCAATAAGGCAAAGCAACAGTAATAAGTCAAAGCAACAGCAGTAAGGCAAAGCAACAACAATAAGGCAAGAGTAATAAGGCAAAGCAACAATAATAAGGCTAAAAGTTCACTAAGTATAAACTAAGAATGGTGTTAACACACAAATGAGATACAGACAAGTGATCATAGCGTTCTGGCTTCAAGACAAGAAAGAACAACTAAGTCAGAGGAGACTGAGAAGTGTCCTATCTTATTGGCTGGGAAAAAATCCCAGCATGCATCTGTATGCATTTGCCTATAAATTTGTGGAGGTGGATGTTTGCACAGTTATTCTAACCACAATTGGAACCAACCATTCCCATATAAGTTATTTCTCATTGATTTTATACATATTGGCTTTTTGATGAAGTGAACCATTCGACAAAGTGAAGATTTCATTTAACACTTTTAGTGAAGACAGTTTTTGAGGAAATGAGTATCACAGTTATGAAGCACACTCCAGGAGTCATTAGCAGAAATCTATTACCATTTTAAATATATTGCAAAACATATATATTTTAAATATATTGCAAAACATGCATATTCAAACTATATTGCAAAAACATAACAAATATTCAAAATATATTGCAAAAATATAACACATATTTTAAATACATTGCAAAACATAACAAATATTTTAAATATATTGCAAAACATAACATATTTTAAATATATTACAAAAACGTAAAAATATTTTAAATATATTGCAAAAATATAACAAATATTCTAAATATATTGCAAAAATATAACACATTTTAAATAAATGGTAAAACATAACAAATATTTTAAATATATTGCAAAAACATGACACATATTTTAAATATATTGCAAAACATAACAAATATTTCTACTGCTTTTTCACTATTTCAGGAAGGTAACTCCCAAACAGAAGATATATTTTCAATTGAATACCAACCAAAAGTCTTGGATTGTTTCTGTTCCAATACAGTTCGTCATTTTTATCCTTCCACCTGGGATGAAATACTATTAAATTCCCAAACTATGGACTTAAAGATGAAAGAAAAGTTCAGAACTAACCCAACAGGGAACAACATTGTAATGCCGAAGCCAGTTTATTTTACCAAGCGAACCAAACCAACCATTAACCAGCTTTCTGATGAAGACATCCAGAACATAGCTGTGTTCTGCTTTCCTGGTAAAGTTATAACATTTTTACAATATTTTCAAATAGATTAGGTTAGGTTGGTTAATTTAATGACATATTAACTGTTTTAGTGCATTCCTATAGTAAAGTCATTTACAATGCATTGCTATAATAAAGTTATAATCAAGGCATTTTCAGATATATTACATTAGGTTGATTAATTTAATGACATAACACTTTTGGGGCTATTCAATGTCAAATACAAGCCTTATAAAACAAAAATCACAATTTGTAAAGAGGCAGAAATAAGTCCATATTACCCCAGAGTCACCAGAGCCGGATGTAGTTCTGTCTTGCTCCAGAAGCAGATGTGTGCCTGTCTAGCCTCAGAGGTATACATATGTCCATCTTGCCTCAGAGTCACCACAGGCAGACATGTCTGTCTTGTCCCTGAGTCAACAGACGCAAATGTAGGCCCATTTTGCTCCAAAGGCGGATGTAGTACCATCTAGCCCAGAGTCAAAAGGCAAGCATTAGTTGGACTTATACTAACATATGCAGGCATTCACCCAGAAGATGGCCTTATTTTGGTGAGTTCTTTTGGGATGCATGCATATTTAACCCTTGCTGACTGAACAATGATAGTTTTTAGGAATTGTCTTGGAGATTTTTTGAGAGGAGGAATTATTATTATTATACACTGATTAGAATGTGTGGGCAGCATAATGAATATATGTGCTGAAATTGGATTTGGAAAGCCAAGTTCAAATTCTGGTCTGGTCTGTTGATTTAATTTCACACCGGTGCTCTTGGGAAAGCCATTAATCCATGTCTTTTCAACCCCCATGTACATTAAATAGCAGTGTAAACTGGTCTATCTAAGCTTGGACAGCAATGAGTCTGAGAAGAAATCTCTGAATTCCAAACCATGGGGAAGGCAATTGGTAGACACTCCACTATCTTTCCTAAAAAACATGGCAATTTTCATATAATATATTCTGAAGGGACAGGGCATGATAGAAATATATGCTAATTTATTCAGATCAGTGCCATCTTTGTTGTTTCTATTTGAATTTCTGAGATGAAGTTGTCATTATATATATTATTTATACTCAGATTATTGTCCCCATCTTTGTTGTTATTATCACATTTCGGCCATTGTACCCTCTGGCCCTCATCAGGTTCTTGTTGCTCCAAGTAACCATTGAGGAATTTCAAACTGAACCGTGTATTTAGTTTATAGTGGGTAGATTAGTCTCATTCTGCTGCCCATGTCTAGGGATATCTCGTATAGTTCTTACTTTTAGTACTGCTTAGTTATCGCTCACCCCGTTTCGGTTAAATCCAAGTACACTCTACCCAGCTTGGGGATTGAATTCACAATTACAATGTCACCAAATTCTTAAACTGACACTTTAATCCACTAAGCTAATGTTGTGATAATATCAAAAATGGGGACAATAGTTTGCATGTAAATAATTTTTACTGTTATCATTTAAATTTCTTAAAGGTCACCAACTATGACAGACACCTGAAGAAGGCTAGATGGCACAAAGGCTGAAACATTATGACTATAACAACAAAGATTATTTTTTTTTAATATGAGAAAATCACTGTCCAGAAGATATTTAATAAACTGAATCCAGTAATATGTATGAAAAAGTTACAAAAAGTTTTAAAATACTTTCCAATGACTAAATAAATGCCAATAAACAATTTTATGGAAAATGTTCAGTATAATCAATAATTTTTCTTTCAGAAAAATATCTTTTTAAAATGAAAAAAATTATTGATTGAAGGAATTAAAAGCAAGCATGAGGTAATAAGGATTGATTAAATATTAATAATGCAGATACTTCATTGCTAGATTCAAATAACTTCAAGTCTCTTCTTCACCTATGTGAAAATTAGATATTATATAGCAGTCCAGCACTCTTTTCTTTGTTTCTAATGACCTTATCTGATCCCTTACTAATTTTCATTTGTCAATAGAACCACATCTTTATCACTTCAAGTCTCTTCTTCATTGGAAATGAAATAGTTCAAAATTCAATGGCATAGAGGAGATTAGATATTACATAGCAATCATAGTTTCTAATGACCTTATCTGATCCCTTACTAACTTGCATTCATCAGTAGAACCACATTTATGTTTCTTCAAATCCCTTCTTCATCTGTGAAGAGATTGTCCAGCATTCTCTGCCATATAAGCAATTAGGTATTACATAGCAGTTCAGAACTCTTTGTTTTCAATATTTCGCTATATCTTAATTCTTGGCTTACTTTCTGAAAGACATCTTTCAATATTCCTATATATTTTTTTAATCATTTCACCCCATGCAAGGCTACAAAGCCACTAAGATGCTAGGAGTTACTCATTGTGAAAGAATATAATAAAAACAATAAGGAGATAGAACAGTAAAAGAACAGAAATTAAGAAAACAGAAGATAATGATTGACATTATATTTAAATTTTTGAAGCTCAAAGTTGACTGGGAAGCAAGAAGCTGAAAGAGGTCTACAAGTGAGAAGTGTAAGAGAAGAAACTGCTAGCATAGAACTTACGGTTCCATCTAGCCATTTCAACTGTAAAATCATGACTTTGCCACCAATCTAGTACTGCACTTAAATTCATAAAGTCTAGGTATGATAGAGGAAAGTTGATCAGAACAATTAACATGAAAGTATTTATAAAAAAGGCACAGAGATGCTATGATATGGTGGTAGGAAAGTGACTGAAACTTAGATGCCAGGTCAAGTCTGATAACATTACAGATTTTTCTTTAGATTTTATCAAAGATCTCTAAATATACAGCAGGAGCACCAGATCATATGTGGCAGTAATATAGTAATATTCAAAGCAAGGACAAATGGTAGACTAAGATAGATTTGGGCATAAAAAATTGTCTGGAATGACACTGTGAACCAACTTTCCTAGAAGTAGACTTAGCAATTGACTCAATATAATCTTTCCATTTCATGTCAGCAGAAAACATTAACCCATAAAGCACAGTAAGTCACTCTCCTGGAGGTTAGCATTAGCCATGCTAATAGAAAGTAAAAAGGATTCTCTTAGATGATTAAAAGAGAGCAGCTTCATTTTAGAGGCATTAAAATTAACAAGCCATTTTTTGCCCCAATTAACAACAGAATATAGGTCATTTTTTAGATCAGCTACCGATTTGACCTTATTGAACCATTCTGACTTACTATTAAGACAAGAGTACAGAGTGCAATGAGTAAATTGTTGCCATTTTATATTTTTAATTTCACACATGCACATTGTTTGTTTTTTTTTTTTTTTTTCAATGGTACAGTATAGTAGGGTCAGTTGGGCACCATCTATGAGAAAAAGGGCACCTTGATGCAATTCACTCTGCCAGAAATTTGGAAACAGCATGCTGTACTGCTTGACATTTGCACCAGAAGCTCTAATACAAACATTTCAGAGTGTTTGGGTGTCAATCTGAGAACAGTGCAGAGAATTCAGAAAGAGTTGGATGAGTCTAATGGTGATTAAGATGTTTGGAGTGATCACTAGTGATGGTGACATTATGCTTCCATTCACCTTCCCACAGGGCCTCAGACTCAACATGGAGGCTTACATCAGGTGCCTTGAGGAGGTAGTGGTGTTCTAGGTTAAGAGGGCAGCTGCTGGAAAGCCCTATATCTAGCAATAGGATTCTGCACCATGCAACACAAGCATAAAATCCCAGTCATGGCTGACCGCATCACCCCTTACGTCTGGCCACTTAACTCCCCAAGTTGTAACTCCTTTGATTATTATGTGTGGGGCGCAATTGAGAGAGAGAGACCAACAAAACTCCATGTGACACCAAAGATGAGCTGAAGGCAAGGATTATGGCAGCATTCACCAACTTAAGTAAGGAGACTGTCCAGAAGAGGTGCAGAAGATTCTGAAGTTGTCTGGAGCTCATGGTGGAAGTCTTTGGAGATTTTATTGAATAAATTTACTCTTTAGTATTTCAAGACATTTTTGTGTAATTTTGGTAAATATATCTGTTAAAATGAGATCTCAGTATTTTTTTAATTTTTGTGTAATTTAGATGACAATTTATCCATCGCACCCTATAAATAGTTGAATCATCAGCAAAGATATTGAGTTGAAAGGTGATGCCATCAGGAGGGTCATTGATGAAAATTAGGAACAACATAGGTCTAAGGATAGAGCCCATTTTTAATGTAAAAAGATCTAGAATAATGATTGTTCAAGACAACTTCCATTTCACAAATTAAGAAACACTGAATCAGTTTAAAAAATTAATCCAGAAATACCATAACATTTCAACTTGTGTAGAAGACCAGCATGCAGGATGCTGTCAAATGCCTTCAAGATATCCACAACCTGACCTTCAGCATTCTTATCTAAAGCTTGATAGACTCTTTCAGCAATAATCAATAATGCATCAGCAGTTGACCCAGAGAAGCGAAAGCCATATTGTTTATCTGAAAGAAGACCCTGAGACATGAGATGCTTAACCAATTCAGAATTGATTAGAGCCTCTAGTACTTTGCCAAAAGGAAGTAGAAAGCTGATAGAAATATCAGACAGTTCACCCAAGTTCTTAAAGACTAGAACTACAGAAGAGGATTTCCAACAGGCAGGAAAGCAAGAAGCCACAAGGCATTTATTGTAGTGTTTAGTGAGGACAGGAGCCAGTTCAAGAGCAATTAAAACTAAACTCTTCTAATGTCATCTCACAACAAACACTATATACACTTCTTGGCCAACCCAATAATAAACTTTTTTTCTTTTTTCCAGATGGGGCAAAATTATCTGCTCAAAGAACAGACAATTTTAAAGTGCATTATTTTGTATTAACTGATTTCTTAGGAGTACGAAATTATGCCACATGCCTCACCTTCCATCGAAAGTATGAGGCTACAAAGGTAAGTTCTTTATTATATAGTTGTAAATAACTTTGTACTAACATACCTTGCCCTGTTTGGTGGGACCAAAAATATACTGACTGTATCCCCATATGGAGTGGGTAAACCCTACCAAAAAAGAGGTCACTTATTTATCATACTCATGCCTGCCATTTTTTTACTCAGGTGCAAGCTGAACAGATGTTGGCCATTTTGACTCTGATACAAGCACAATCAATGTTGGCCATTTTTGACTGGTGCAAGCAGTACAGATGTCGGCCATTTTTTTTACTCAAGTGAAGGACAGAACAATGTTGGCCATGTTTTTACTCTAGTGCCAGCTTGTTTGCAGAATGCCATGTCAGTGGCTACCACAACTTTTGCAAGCCAGGTGGGGGTTTGGTTCAGTAACATTTTTGTCACAGTTAGAGGAGGTGTTAGAACAAAGATTACCTCTATTTCTGTTTTCTATTGTTTATCAAAATGACAGAATTCAGTATTAAACAATCTGAACCAATGTGATATATAAATCTATATATCAGATGAATAGTAATTTATTGAATGAGTAAATGAAAAAAAAACTCCAAAGTAACATGTTTCATCAATCCTTTTTCACCTTATAGATAAAACTGATTCCATAAATGAATCTGAAAAAGTTACTTCTTGGGAGGAAACTCATTACTTAAAAAAGTTTGTTTATTTTTACATTTTTTCATTCAGTTTCCCACCTTTTTAATTTGTTGCCTGTTCATTCACTGGACCGTTCTAGGTGAAAATTCTAGTTTGTTCATTTTCTGGGTGGGATTCTTGTCCATTTCTTTATTTGAGGGGTATTCTTGTCCATTTCTTTATTTGAGGGGTATTCTTGTCCATTTCTTTATTTGAGGGGTATTCTTGTCCATTTCTTTATTTGAGGGGTATTCTTGTCCATTCTTTCATTGGGGGGGATTCTTATCTATTCCTTTATTGAGTGGATTCTTGTCCATTCCTTCATTGGGGGGGGGGATTCTTGTCCATTCCTTCTCTGGGTGGTGTTTTTGTCCATTCCTTCTCCTGGAAGGATAACTGTCTGTACATTCTCTAACCTCCACTGGATAAGGTTATTGTCCGTTCACTTGGTTCCTCCTCTGGGCTGGATTTTTGTTGAATCTAATGTTGTTAACTAGCAATATTGGATGTTATGGAAAGACTATACTTTTTCTAGATTATTCTGAAAAATGAACTAGATAAAATTCCAGATATTTGTACTGACTATTGTCTTTACCTCAGTTGTTCAGACTCTGTTATAATGTAAGGTGCATTCTGTTGGTTTTCACAACAACTACTAATGCAATAGTCATCTCCATTAAAAAAATGACGCTGGTACAATTTCTTGTCACAAACCATATGTAACCTTTTATTTTTGTCAAGTTTCCTGGTGTTAATGGCCAAGAGAACACTATAATCCCCATCCTGTTTTGTGTCAGTAACACAAAACTGGTTTCAGGAATGCTCATCTGATTTCCAGTACTCCATTGACCACTGTGCTCACCAGTTCTAAACCCCATTAAGCAAAAATAAGACATGATTCAGACATCACCATTGGTTGAAAGGATTAAAGCATTGGTTAGTGAATTTGGTGACATAATATGTGTGAGAAAACTGGGGGGGGGGGAACAAAAAAAAAACAACTTCTTGTGACACAAAAATGAAAGCCTACTTGCGAACCTGAAACAAATGCCTTCTTGTGAACCTGAAACGAACGCCTTCTTGCGAACCTGAAATGAATGCCTTCTCTTCTGAATGAACACTTTACGACAGCAAATGAGCAAAACGGCACCCAAGACTGCTGCCGACGGATGACCGACCGCAATGGCTTTTGTCACCCAAGAAAAGACACCAAACAACTCGTACGTCTTCTTCTTGTAGTCCTCGGTCGAGTCCATTATGGTACTCCAAGGTGTGCCCGGCGACAACACACACACGCAGTTCAAGGACACTTCCGCGCATGCTTGTTACATAATAACTGTGAGTTCAATCCTTGGGCTGGATAGTACAGATACACTCAGATTCAGTAGAAACAGGATTAGCAATAATGAAACAATTAACAAAGACGAAATATGGACAGCAGAATGGGAACAGTCTACATACCTAGATTGAATAAAGGGTTCAATTTGAAATTCTCTGAAAGTTTGAATTGACAGACATTTGAAGAAGGCTAGAGAGTGCATCAGCTGAAATGTTGAGATATAAAAAAATCCCCAAACAACAAATATGAGTACATTAACCAGATTATAAAGAATTTATTTACAACTGCTACTTGTCTATATCTATATTAGATCCAGTAACAGGACCCAAAGAGTGTGAGTTCAATACCTGGTTAAGGCAGTGGAGAACTTTCAGAGGGGAATTAACAGGAGATAACTGACATCCATTAGACATGGCACGTGAAACTAGAACAGTCTACCCCAGTGAGCGAAATAAAGGGTTCAGTTCGACATTCTAACCTCCTGAAGAAGGCCGGAGCATACAACGGCCAAAACGTGATAAACATAGCGACAAAGATGAGGACAATAGTCTGAATAATGTAAATAGTGAACTGCTACTTGCTTGTAAAATCCTACTATAGAGGAGTTGGCTTAACTGCCATTTACCAGGCACACCTAAGGAAAAGCGACAGTGATTTATCATGTGCTTACTAAGTAAATTTTTTTTAAAAGAAAACAATTGAATTAAATTTCCTAAACAACAGTGACATAACTAATATCATGTTCAAATAATATCATTACTAACAACACAATTATTTACTCCTGTCTTAATAATACGTCTGATTGGTTTGATAAGGTCAAATTTCGTCCAAGTTTTCACCAGAGGAGTTGATTCTAAAAGTTCCAATATGATACACCATTTCAAACAGATTTTATGCCACTCTGAAGATTATGAAAATTTTGAAAACGTTGAATTTTCTTTTTTTTTTTTTTTTTTTTTTTTTTTTTTTTTTTTGAGACTTTTCACTAAAATCAACTTTCATTGTTTGCCTTTTGGAACTCTTTTTCCTTCATTACAACCATTATGAGTCTTGTAAATTCAATCAAATTGTCTTCAATCCTAACTCTCTCTACTCTTCTAAATCTTTCTGCATTAATGTGGGTGTCCCCCAGGGCTGTACATTGTTCCTAATTTTCATCCATCAACGACCTTCCTGATGTCATCAGTTCTCAGCTCGTATCTATGCTAATAAAACAGCTATTTACTCCTGTCTTAATGGTAAGTCTGTTCAGTTTGATATAGCCAAATTGGCAGCTGATCTCAAAACTGATTTATGATCTGTTGTTAACTGGGGCAAGAAATTTTAATGCCTCCAAAGCAAAACAGCTCTCTTTTAATCCTCATAAGGGACCTTTTTTGCCTTCCATCAATATAGCTGATGCTAACCTCTAGGATAGTGACTTGTTGCACCTTCTCAAACTAACATTTTTCACTCACATGAAGTGGGAATAATATTTTGAATCCATTGCTATGTCTGCTGCTAGGAAAGTTGGTTCACTATGTCATGCTAGACAATTTTTTTTTTTACATATTTATAGATTGACCCTTCATCCACACATTGAATATAGCTGCTGCATCTGGTCTGGTTCCTCTGCTGTGTATTTAAAGATTCTTGATAAAATCCAGAGAGGAATCTGCAATGTTATCAACTGAACTGGCATCTTGGCTTCAGTCACTTTCCAATTGCTGTAACATAGTTTCCCTGTGCATTTTTTTATAAATATTTTCAAGGTAATTGTTCTAACAAGCTTTTCTCTTTAGTACCTTGAAATTGATAGATGCAACCATAGGTTCTGTACTAACGGTTTCTTCACCTGAATTTCTGTTGTATCCTTAAAGAAGGTTACAAACAGACAAAGGTGGTACTCGAGTGAAAGGAATAGCAACACAGGTGTAGATGAAAGAATAAGAGGTTTATTGTAAAAGAGAATACACTACTGAAAGACAGGGAATCTGTTAGCAAGCTAGTAATCCCCAAAAGAAGGTTATTTACCTTACCTCCCCATGAGGCAAGATGTAGCACAAGGCCACTTTTAAGGGGGGGGGCAAAACCAAGCCCATAGCCTTAGGCAAAAATTCCCCATAGACCCTGTATACATGGGTTGGATAGCAGTCTGTCACCCCAGATAAGACTCTGCCCTTTGGTATAGCCTTGACTGTGTTCCCTTCTGCCCGAAGACAGAGAGTTCGACCAGCACAGCTGGAGACGAATCTCCAACTAATTGCCGAAGCAAGGATATTTGCCAACCGCCCCACGTGGTTAGATGTGGTGCAAGGCTGAATTTAACGTGGGGTATCCGAGCCCATAGTCTCGGGCAAAAATTCCTCATAGAACCTGTGAGAAACGGGGTCAGGTAGCTGTCTACCACCCCAGATGAGACTGCCCTTCAGCATAGCCTTGACTAGGTTCCACTCTGCAGAAGGCAGAGAGTTCGACCAGCACAGCTGGAGACGAACCTCCAAGTAATTGCTGAAGCAAGTTTGCCAGGTATATCCTGTGCTCACTATGTATATCTACCGATATAGTCAGTTTACATATGCGATAGGGATTTAGATATATTCCATTACAACAATTTCTCACTTGTGGAACTTATTCCTGGATTCTTCCTTTCCAGCCAACATTGATCTTTAAAACTTTTTTTTTTCTATTTCAGGAACGTAAAACTTGGAAGCTGAAGCCATTTGAGAAAACTAAATTACACGGTAACTCTCATTACACAGAGTCTGTTATTGTTTATGTTCCTCATGCTTGTGCCTTTGTTTCTACACAGCCATATTTCACCGTGATGAAGCAGTGTCTCTCAATGTAAGTGCTTCACAAATATTCTTGTGTTCCAAATACATGTGCCAGCATGATTAAATTTGATTTCCTTCTCCCACACTTTCTCTCTTCAAGCTTTCCTGCTAACTATGATCTTCAAAAATTTAAATGTAATATCAATTGTCATCTTCTATATTGTTTTTATTCTTTTTTTAACCCGTAACCCTTATAGGGTTATCACATGTACGGCTGCAACAATAGCAGTGGTCAAGATAGCCCAACAGAGCTGAGCCCAAATATCTCCAGGCTGGTTTTGAATTTTTCCTTCTCCTAGATTGGTGGCCACCCAAGACCCAGTCTGTCCTGCTATTTGTTCATAGTTGAGAGGAGAAAAGATGGATTCATGCCTTTCCCAAGAGTATTAGCACATAAGTGAATGTAATGAACTTGACTGTAATTTGAACTCGGCTATCTGATTCCTCAATCTGAGCTGTGATCCATTAATCCGCTGTGTCTCCTTCTATATTTAGACTATTTATATTTGTACTATTGTTTTTATTTTTATTGTTATCACAACATTTCAGCCATTGTACCTTCCAGACTTCCTCAGGGTCTGAGTAATCTACAAGGGATTCTGAACTGAAGACTTTGTTTAATCTACAGGAGTAGGTTGTTTTCATTCTACACATGAGCAGTGGAACAAGAACTGTCTAATTGAAGCAGCCCCAACCCCGCTATTGCTTAATTAGTAGTAAAGGGTGTTCCAATAACTTGAACCAATTTTAAATGTGAATTAAGTTTAAGTGTCTAATGATTTTTTTTCTTTCAGATTTGGCAGACATTTGGGCGATATTATTTTTCACACATAATTGCCATAACTTAAATCACATGATCCAATAGAGAAATAAATAAATTTTCGCCAATAACACTGATTTATTTAATGCTGACTTTGATCCATCTTAATGAAACACCCTTTACTTATGCCAGTAAATTATTATCTCCAAAAAATTCTTACTATCTAAAGATATTTTTTAGTTTTCAACAGCCTGCTAAAGGTTGATAAGCCATAAAAAAACAAATCAATCGATCAAAATATGGTAATAAATATGAGTAAATTAATCTGCAAGGAATTACAGGGATATCTACTCAAACATTCAGTGTCTCAGAATTGTTAATCAGAGAGCTTAGTTCCAATTCCTGTTGGGTTCATTATATTCACTTATGCACTAATATCCTTGGGGAAGGTATGGATCAACCTTTTCTCCCACCAGCGAGGTGTAAGACTTGTATCACTAAATCGTTATCTCAAATAAAAGAAAAAAATCTTACAATCTAAAAATATTTTCTGACTTTAAATAACCTTCAAAGGGTTGATAAGCTATAAAAAACAAAACAATCAAAACTTTAAATGTAAAAAAACTGATATTTTTCTGCTAACTTATAACTGTAAGCTCTTGGATGTGTGGATGGTGTAATGGATAATGGCTCAGTATTGTTAATCAGCAAGCTAAGTTCCAATTCCTGTTGAGTTCATTATATTCACTTATGCGTAAATACCCTTGGAAAAGGTATGATTCCACCTCATCTTCCCCCAGCTATGGGTTAATTAGTAAACCATTATTATCTCCCCCCCCCCAAATTCTTACAATCTAAAAAATATTTTCTGATTAAAGTGTTGATAAACTATAAAAAATGAATGAATGAATCAGTCAAAAACAATCTATTAACTCCTTAGAATTTATCCTTTTGTTATTCTTCAGTATGAATCTAGGCTTCAAGAGGTCCCAACGAGAGGTGTGCATTTCTTAAATTGAACTTTGCTTCACAGTAAGCAGAGTCTAAAGTACATCAGACTTGAAGGTAGTTTCCTCAAGCCTTCATTATCTTTTATGTTCATAAAGGCTGATTTTATTAAGAAATGATTTTAATTTTCTAGATGTTATAACTTCTAAATAGTTTCATAAACAGAAATCATATCAATATAATAATCTCATATTTATTTTTATTGTTTTATTGTTACAATGCTGTTTATAAAAATGTTTATTTTTATTATGGTTGTTTTGAAATATGTGCTAATTTAGTTTGCAATAAATAGTAAAAAAATGGTATTTCTTAAAGAATATTTTTATTGACAAACTAGCAGTAGAGCCCGGTGTTGCCCGGGGATGTAACAGTAAGAGATAGATCAAGTATCGACCATCATAAAGACTGAAAAATAAAATTGACAAAGAATATTGTTTAAGGTTGACAGACACGCATGTCTTACTTGTTTTTTTTTTTTTTTTTTTTTTTTTTTTGTTTTTTTTTACAAATTGGTCAAACTCAAACAAAAACATTGTTTTCAATCGTTATTGAATAGAATTTTATTATAAACAATTGTCTTGTAAATGGAATTTTTAAACCATTCTGAATGTAAAAAATAAAGAAAAAAGTGTGCAAGACAATAAGAAACACTACCTGCTAAAAAAAAGTGAAGTTTGGTTGAAAAATGTAGGAAATCTGATAAATGAACACACACACACAACCAACCTGAGTTTTATAATAAGTATAACTCGATAACTCGATATTAATAAGTATAACTCAATAGGAGTTGTCCCCATTTCATTAATGCCTCTTAATCGTGTTTTCAAATTGATTTTGTGCAAAAACAATTGTTTTTCCCATTTTTGGCGCTGTCAGAACCACCGTAAGGTAATTTTACGTCGTCCTGTGAAGTTTTGTTGAAATCGATTGAAAAATGTACGAAATCCGATACAATATATAAACGTAGACACACACACACACAATTTGCGTTTTATAATAAGTAAGATAAAAGTGAGCTATTCTAGTTTATTTAAAGAATTTGCAATAAGTTTACTTCAAACTATGTAAATGTCTCTAAAATATCACAAATGAAAGATATTCATGATGAGTGTAGGCAAGTTAAAGAGTGGCTCTGTATGGAGGTGGGGGGCATAATATCATTAGCCTAGGGACCCCAAAAAGTCAGAATTTGACCCTAGCCAAGAGGCACTTTTATTTTTTTGTATTTAACTGATTGACTACCTAGGCCAGTAGATGTTATTTACACTTTTCTTTTTAAACAAAGAAAAAACAGGTATGTTGATACAAATATGTCTGCCCACTGAATATAATGTTTAATAATAGAATAATTTTTTTTACTTTTTTTTAGTCTTCTAAACAAGATCAAACTGACCAAGGATATTCACACCCAGAATTTGCTGTTTCAAGAATTTGTGCGACAACTGTGTATCACACCTCTTCCTCCGGCTGGTACACTGGCAGTGGTGAGCTTTCTTCTTAAAAGAAACCATTATCAAAATATTGGCATAACTAAATTCTGAATTTAGTTATGCCAATATTCATTTATGCACATAGCTGTGACTACTTCATTAAGTTCATTAATTACTTAATTAATTACTTTGAACGCATGTTGTCACCGATAGGATTTATTAAACAAATCCATCCAAACTTTCATTCCCTCTAATGATTACATATATAGTGACATAGCAAATACTAAAAGCATAGATAGAAATTCATTGGAAATGATTTTACTATAGGAATGCATTGCAAATTATTTACTAGCCATTTATGTAAGCTGTCTTATCACTGATAGGATTTATTAAACAAATCCATCCAAATTTTCATTCAATGCATCTCATAGGCAGCCAAATATGATATATAATCTCATGGGTGTTTGGTTTGAGGAACCAACGTCAACACAGAAGATCGCATAAGGAAGCCAAGCTCAAATTCTACTATAATATTTACAAATGCTCTTGGGAAAGGAAAGAATTATAGCTTACCACATTGACATATGAAGGCCATGGAACACAATGGCTGAAACATTGTAACAACACCAAAGATGGAGACGATAATTCACATGTAAATAATTGCAATAACAGAAAATCCATATTAGCTATGATATCGCCTAGAAGATTAGAATATTCATTCCTTCAACAAGGGTTCTTTGAAAAATGTTATGAGGAAATTTCATTAATGGCTCCTGGTAAGATGGTAAAAGACTTAATGTCCTTTTCTCTGTCATAAAATATTTTATTTTTTTGTGCTGTCAATGAACACTCATAGCCACTTTTGTAATGTCGATGAATACTCATCACTTTCATAATGCTTATTATAGTAGAGACTTTGTAATTGCAGATACAATTATAGTAATGCCATTGAACAATACTGGTGTCAGACGCCTTCGAATCACACTGACACTAACATTAGTTACTCGATTTTACTCACTGGAAAAGTAACCATCGAATAGTGATCCAAATAGTAATTCATATGGTGATCCACTTAGATGCCATGTTAATTCTCATACATACATTTCCTTTATCATCACATGATCTACTTATTCAAAATGGGATCGCTGTGTTTGCTCTCTGGTGATCTGTGTTCAAACACCAGTGCTGGTAGCAACACTTTATTCTTATATAACAATTTTTTTATTTGCCAAAGATTCTTGTATATACTACACAAATTTGTGTGTCCTGGGTATGATGATAAACTACATCCAGCAGCAAGATCTCTGATTAGGAGAGTGGAGATTTTAAGGAGCATGGAAATACCTCTTAACTGCTGTCATTACCAGGTCCACTCTGACCCAGGGTGGTAGCACCTGTTAGAGTCACAGCTATGGGCAAATAGTGAAATCACAAACAAAAAATCAACAGTACATTTTTATAATAAAATGACCAACAATACATTTCTGTCCGTGCAACACTAAAATATAAAAATACATTTTTATACTAAAATTAGCAACAATAAAAACAATAAATTTTATGATCTACAAACATACCTTTAATCTAAAAATATAAAATAATGTACAAAATATCTGTAGTTGAAAGCATAAAATTACATACAAAATATTTAGATTTTGGTATTAAATAACTCATAGAGGTTGATATGCCTCTAAACAAAATAAACCAACAACAAATTTGTGAAATGTTTTGCAATTTTGTAAGCTATTTCTGTTCTTGTACTCTTTTGCAGGGTGTACATCTGTCTGGTCATGAAGTAATCCTTCGTCCTCCACACCATTCTTCAATTCCAGTCCTGGATTTGTCGTTACACATTGTCTTTCAGTGCTTCCCAATTGAAACCATTATTCAAATCATTACTTGTATTTTAACTGAAAAGAGAATTGTCTTTCTGTCATCCAATTATGCCCTTTTGACCATTGTCACTGAGGTAAGTTTCAGTTTTATAAACTTACAGCAGTTACTGATAATTTTAAAGCAGTCGCTCGCTTTATCGGATCTATCGTACCTCCCAGAGCTTTGAGATTCTCGTAATTTTAAAGCAGTCGCTCGCTTTATCGGATCTATCATACCTCCCAGAGCTTTGAGATTCTTGTAATTTTAAAGCAGTCGCTCGCTTTATCGGATCTATCGTACCTCCTTTGATACTATGAACTATGCATAGAAGCAGAAGTCTATATCTCTAGTATTTCTGTTTGATGGACAAGCATATAGTTCCTTTTGAAATTTGGTCCCGTAAGCTGCATCCACTATGACTGTAGGGTAGATGAGGGATTTTTGCAGATCAAGTGCAAACAAAAAGGTTATATCCAGGTGCTAGTCTATATTAAGTCATGCTTGGGTTCGAGGTGAGTGTTTGTTCGCCCTTGACGGGGGACTGACATGTCCATGCCACGGTTCTGAAACCTCCATTTTGTGTTTGCCAGCCACCATGTCAGGATGAGTACATGTGTGAGAATTTGGTTGTGGGAATAGCTGACTTAGCAGGAGTTGTCCCAAGCATCACCTACTTACCCACCCAAACAAATAGACAAAGTTCTGAATAAAACATATGTATATAATGTGGGAAACAAGGTTCATGTTCTTATTTCTCAACATGACATTTCTCTTTCATCATATTACCTTATGAGCATGCATCGCACCCTTTCCCAGCATTCAATGAATACTGCTGTGATCAAGGATTGGAATGTAATCTGGGCTAATCATTGGCTGATTGATGGAAAGTTTGGTAAAGGGTCACATCTTATGTTTACAGATACCAATAAGATCAAATTTAAAATCTAAATTATCTGTCCATTTAAAATACTACATGTATTCAAGGACTGAAATGCAATATGGGGTGATTAACCGGCCATTGGAATAAAGACTTTTCTCATCTAAATCAATCCTTCAAATCTACCATTCGTCCATGCATGTTTCCATATGCCATATATGGAATCATGTTGCTATATATTGTCTGGTGTTCCCGCTGTTCATCTCAAGATTCTCAACAAAATCCAAAAACAGATATGCAATGTGATTGGTCCTGACTTGGTTGTCTCAACTCCAGTCATTTTCTCACTAATGTAATGTGGCTTCCCTCTGTCTTTTCTACAAATATTTTCATGGCAACTGCTCTGGAAAGCTATTTTCACTGGTACCACAACTACATGAATTTAAGCATGCTACTAGATTGGCATCTTGATCAGTGGAACTCCCTTCCTCTTACTTGCTTCCCTGACAACTATAATCTTCAAAAATTTAAATGAAATGTCAATCATCATCTGCCTTGATTCCCATTCTTCTTTTTATCACTTCCTCACCCCCCCCCCCAATACCCAGTCTTTTCCCTTACTTACATTCTGTAGCCCCTTGTGTACTAGTGGCACTCCCACCTTGTTTGGAGTGAATTACTTAATAAAAATAAATAAACAAAATGGTGACACAGAGAAATAATTCTACAGAAAAGAAAACTAGAACACAGTAATATATAAACTGTAAATTATTTACATTATTCGGACTATTGTCCTCATCTTTGTTGCCACATTTATCACAGCGTTTCAGTCGTTGTACACTCCGGCCTTCTTCAGGTGGTTGGAATGTCAAACTGAACCCTTTATTTCACTCACTGGGGTAGACTGTTCTAGTTCCACGTGCCATGTTTTGATGGATGTCAGTTATCTCCTGTTAATTTCCCTCTGAAAGTTCTCCACTGCCTTAACCGGGTATTGAACTCACACTCTTTGGGTCCTGTCACTGGATCTAACCAACGCCTTTTTGCTCAAGGACACATGGCACAGTAGATAAATAGATAGATAATGATCAGACTGAAATAGTGTTGTGGAGCAGCTATCACCCCTTCAGCACTCTACCAGATGGCCTGGCTCATAGCCTTAAATAGTCTATGATTAAGGACTTCAACAGTTGATTAATAAGTTGATACTAAGCTGATTAATATTCGGACTGATCTTACTTTGTTTGGCTATACAGCATTTGACCCTCCTCTATTTATTGTAAGTTGTCTTGTGAATTGTTTTATAATTTATTGTTCCGTGTTTTTTGTATGTATCCATTAGCACAGGATACTGGTGCTGAATAAATATATTAAGCACTCATTCTTCTCTGTGTATCTTTCACTTCAACGATACGAGGAATAAGTACACATGTAAGACTAGTTTAGTCTGAATAACAAATAAACAAATGAAAGGGTAACAAGGAATATGACAAAAGCAGCCTTATACTTAAATATAGAATTAAGACCATTTGTCAAAATGGCTAAAGGAAGTTAGTGAATAATTTGTTTAGATGAATATGTATAAAGTTTGCTACAGGAATATGTTTCAATGTTGCGGTGAGCTCACAGAAAGGCAGAAAGTTGAAAGTGTTGAAAAGGGTTCTTCATACAGAGAAAAAAACGTAAAAGAAAAGTATAAAAGATGGCTACATTAAGCAAATGTTCAAATAATAACATGGTAATGAAGTAGACCAAAGTATAAAAAAGGCGTTAAAAGTTACATACCAGCGATGGTAATGTTGGGGGTAAGATTAGGAGGATGAAAAAACTAATGACCACATGCTTGGGCTCATGATTTTAGTGTGTGGAATCTGGTGATAACTAAGGACTAACAGGAAGTGGTCAAAAATGGTATCTAACCTTATGAATTTAACTGTTTTCTTTGAATTTTTTAACATTTTTATAGTCATGTATCTTGGCTTGAGATAGGAGTAATTCTTTCAGAAATGGAAATATTTGAAAAAATCCAGGGTGCAGATTTATATTTTGATAAGATTTGATAATGGGGCTGTTATAACAAGCTTTTGGTTGCATAGGAAAGGAACAAACAGGGATTAAATTTTCAACAGCATGTATTTGTAAAATATATATAATATATACATAGTTGTTTGAAATTTGGTAAAAATTGTTAATATATTGTCATTAGTTGCTATTGGTCAGGAAAGCAATTAGGTGTAAGGGTGTTGTCAGGATAGCCAGGAGTTGACTGATTTTTTGGGTTGCTTGGCTGAGGTCATGGTTGTAGTCAGAGGATAGGTCTGAAGTGGATTAGCCATTGATGGAGTTTGACACAAACCTTTCTTTAAGGTTGAAATTGACACCTGTGATGGTGTTGATGGGCTGGTAGTCATGTGATGCCAGGATGTTGAAGCCAAGCTGTCTGGTAAGGTGGTTGGTGGGTTGGTCAATTGAGGTTATAGTGGTGGGTTGATTCGTGGTTAGGTATGTTGATTGCCAAGGTTATAGCAGTGTAGATAGTGAATGTTGATTGAGCAGAAGGTCTTTGTTGGATTCTGGTCAGATATGGTATCAATGAGACAGGAAGGCCTGGAGCAGATAGTTATGGTTTATTGAGTGGAATGTCTGTTAGATTCTGGTTGAATGTGGTATCAACAATATGGGGTCTCAGTGGTGATGGCGAGGATGATCGTAATGGCAACAGCACACCTGCATGCTGATTGGTGGCCTTTCAGCCTATGACTGTTTTTGTTATTACAAGGGGCTTCCTTTTAAACAAATCTGGTAGTCCCTAGGGGAATCTTTTTTCCAGCTGGAATGTTCGTAATTGTCTGTTGTATTCAGTTTATTGCACGTATTTGTTTTTTGGACTGAATGTTATGCTTGGAGTCTATGCACAGAAAACAACTTTTTTATTTTGTGTTTTTTATTCTTTGGTGCTCACATTTGACCGACATGTAGAGTGAATTAGGAAATTGAATTGTAGTGGAGTATAACAAGACTCTTGAGAATTTTTTGTCAAAGTATGTTACTCTCTCATTAAAAGAGTAAAGTGGCATTCTTTAGATCAAAATTGCGGTTGTGGTTCAATGTATAACTAATACATATGATGAATTGTTGTGCATCCTTTTCGTGTTCATAGATACATTTTTTCCCAATGTATTGTAAAGATAAGTTTTCCTTTTTTCTTTATTTATATTGTCTTTTGACAGATATATTTTAGTTATATCTGAAATTTTACACACACATACAAACACATATATATATATATATTTAATATTTTTTATGTTTATATGTTCTTTTTATAGATACAAATATTTAAGTAAATACTCTGTTTATAATAAACAGTATTAACAACATTTACCGGCCTGAATGTCCAAGAAATTTTCATAGAAAATATGCGTCCTCCGACAGGAATCAAACCTGTATCCTATACGGAACTGTCATATAGCCTAATTGGTTAAGGCATATCAGGCTATATTTAACATTGAAAAACATAAGAAAAATTAATTAATTTTAATAATATGTGGAAATATCCACTCTTTGCCTGATGAAGGTCATGAGACCAGAAACGTGTGTAGCAAAATTATGGAAAATAAAGCATAATATATTTTTTTAAAAATCCACATTACAACCAAAAATGTTTGTGGTTTCTCTCTTCTTTTTATTATATACACTTTTCTCTCGGAACTACTATAACCCTCTCTCTCTCTTTATATATATATATATATATATATATATATATATATATATAATGACTTTTAGAAGTTATACTACTTGACTGAAAGTATTATGTCTATGAAAGAAATTCTATGAAGAAACAAATATTTGAATTTTGGCAACACCTTTACAAGCGAATCAATTTCTTTGTACAGAGTCTCTGCTCACTCATTTACCCCTTTTCCTGGCGTCATACTTATGTGCCTCTTGTATCTGATTCTCACCTGGAACTTCTTGAAGCCCCAGGCTCATTCATCATGGGTTGTCATTTGAAACATCTTCCGACTGTCAAACAAGTAAGTATCCAGCTGATTTCTTATTTTCTTGATTTTTTTTTTTTTTAACAAGTGTAAATTTTTTTTTGTTTTTTAGACAGTGTAAACCAATGAACATGGTGAGTTTGAATGTGACTCACAAGTGCATTTCAAAGAAAATACTTTTTCATCTATGATTCATTTTTTATCTAATCAGTTTTTCTTTTATTCTACCATCGTTAATCTCTAATAGAAATAAATGACTAACCTATAACAGTTTATCCCTTTCACTGCACCTTCATAAAAATTACCAAATTTAGTTATAAAGACATCTCCTGTATCCTTTACATAACTGACTCCCTACTGATTAGTCCTGGGTATGACAATGGCCAGAAATCATCTCCAACGACCAACTGTGAGACAGAATCAGACAATCCCCAATTGAGATTGACATCAAGATACAGAAATGGGGATGGATCAGCCACACACTCCATAAACCTGCTTCTAGTGTAACCAGACAGGCCTTTGACTGGAATCCACAAGGGAAGTGAAAAGTAGGTTGACCAAAACAGACTTGGCGCAGAAGTATTGACTCAAAGGTGAAGGCAGCCGGCACGACATGGGCCGAGCTGAAGAGGATCGCCTGGAACCACATCCACTGGAGAGGTGATGTTGCAGCCCTATGTTCCCCAAGGAATCAAGAGGCATAATAAATAATGACAACAAGGCATCTGATCTCGAGATTCGAGGTTTTGAGGTGTGTGGAACAACCTCTTAATTTCTATTGTTCTCGTGTTCACCCTGACCCAGGGTGATAGCTCCTGTTAGGGTCCCAGCTTTGGGCAAATAGTGAACCACCAAACATTAACGACACAATGAAAGTGTAAAAATACATTTTTATAGTAAAAATACCCACAATACATTTTTATGTAAAAATAATTACCAACAATATTTATAGTATTATCAACAATACATTTTGTAGCAGAAGGACCAACAATACCTTTTATCTGTAGTTGAATGCCTACAATTGCTTTCAAAATATATTTAGTTGAAGCCATAATATTATGTTCAAAATTATGCTCTGAAACATAAAATAAAAAATGCAATAAAACTAAAACATTATTTAATTAGAAAAGCTTTTGCTTTTATGTATAAAATAAACTATGGACACTATTGTCTTAAGAAAAATTTTTTTCAATGAAGATTTAATTTTTACTAGAATTGTTTTCACTTTTGTAAATTTTAATTAAGATAATTTATAAAGTTTTAACTCTTTCAAAATTTTGTATTAATTTGTAGATTAGTTATATAGTTATTAAATTAAGACTGCATTTACTAATCATAAATGGAAAAGCTCACTACAATTCAGTAACATCGAACATTTTAAAAAGAATTTGTGTGTATAAATTTATAAAGTTTTAAATCTTTCAAAATTTTGTATCAATTTGTAGAGGTCCAGTGATATTGTTATTAAATTAAGACTGCATTTATCTCTCCTTGTAGATTAAATAACCAATTCAGTTCAGAATTTCCTGTTAGTTTATCTTGATCAATATACACCTGGGCACATGGCCAAGAGGTTAGAATTTTGGCATTCTTACCATGGTCAATTTGTCAAGGAGACTTTCTGATGTTATCGAACTGAAGGGGTCGATTCCAGCATGTGGCACCTTTGGAAAGTGCCCGAAAACCATACCATGGATTGACCCAAGCATTGTGAGTGAAATTGGGTAGACGGAACCCTTGGGTGCTGTCGATAGCTGTACTAGTAGAAAATCATAAGTCATCGTGACCGAGGGCTTGAGTGTGCTAGCCTTGTTCAAATTGTTGCTCACACTAAATAACACACTCTTTCCCAGAAATTGTAACTAAGGTCTGCTCAGTATAGTTACAGTACAAACCACAGGTGGATTTGGTGGGTGTTGAATAAACACAAAAGCACCTGAGAAAGCATCTGCAATAGGGATTGGCTAGCTGCCCTAGAAGACAGATATCCTCGGTAAAAAATGGCCAGCTATACATCTATACACCTGAGGAAGTGCAGAGGGAACAACAGCTAAAATGTAGATGGGGACAATAGTTTGAATACAGATAATTGTTTTAACTGAGTTATCAAAAACAACAGTAGAAAACAGGAATTGGTTTAACAATAAGTGTTTTACCTTTTGGTACCAGGAAACAATGCAGAATAGAAACTAGGGAGGAGAATGTTTAGCTGTGAGTAACTGTTGAAAACGGTGGCTACTGCTCCTCCTGCTACTCCTCTTGATATTTTTATGTCTTTTGTCCGACGGTTGAGTCCAAACTATTCTTCCTTACAACAATAACTGTGCTCAAATATCGCCCAACCAGAAATATGCAACCTTCCCAATCAAGATGTGGATCCTATCAAAGTGTTTAGACTATAAATTAATACATTGATATTCATTGACTCCATGTACACCTATCAAATTACTCAAATTTACCTTTTTACTACTACTCAGTTGTTGGTTGGCATACGGCCACATCAATTGAAACACCAGTTCTTGTACGATTACTGCAGTTAAGTCAGCAACTAGATAGGTGACTGCTTTGGAATACCAGGTACTGTAAGCTTGGATGTGCAGGCGGTGTAATGGATAACAGCTCAGAATTGAAAATCAAAGAGCTGAGTTCCAATTCTAATCAAGATTGTTATATTCACTACTCCTCCTGATGTAGGAATATTTTTATGTCTTTCGTCCTACAGCTGAGTCCAAACTTGTAGGGAAATATTCTCCCTCACAACAATGATGTGAATAACTCCTCATCCAAGAAACTCAGACAAACATCTACCAGAACATGCTGGCCTTCTTCATTGCATCAGGTATATTTTGACAATAGTCTTGACACTGGCATGTCATGATATTCTCGCCTGCTACTGTTACATAATACTTTGAGAAAGGAGGATTGCCACCAAGAAACCAACTTCCCCTCTAGGGTGCTTCTACTAACTATGAGACTAAATATTCTCTGTCTTTTAATTTTATTTTTATTTTTTATTTAGATTGCTGATTTAGTAATGGTGAATATTGACAAAGGAACTATAATTGTCAATGAATTGGAACCTATATTTGGTGCTATGTCATATACTTATGTAATAAATATTCCCATGATGCCACAAGAACCAGTAAAACTTTTGGCTGAAGTCTATGAAAAAGTCAAGTTCAGTTTTGACTTTATTGATCTCGAAAGGTAAGAAAAAATAATTAACCAACATTGCAACCTTTAAACTTTATCTCTTTCATATCCTCATCATTTATTCAGTTAATGCATTTGGTGCTGCTGTGGTCATCAGTCCCCTCCCTCTCTCTCTCTCTGTTTCTCCCTGTCTGCTGCTGCCCTTACAGCCACCCTCACTCAAGTCCACCTCTTAATACTCTCCCTCTCTCTCTGTGTCTGCTGCTGCCCTTACAGCCACCCTCACTCAAGTCCACCTCTTAATACTCTCTCTCTCTCTCTCTGTCTGCTGCTGCCGCCCTTACAGCCACCCTCACTCAAGTCCACCTCTTAATACTCTCTCTCTCTCCCTCTCTCTCTCTCTCTCTGTCTGCTGCTGTTGCAGCCACCCTCAACAGTCCACCTCTTAATACCCTCTCTGTCAAGTGCCAAGCCCCCTCCTTAAGTCCACCTCTTGGGTCTCTCTCTCTCCCTCTCTCTCTCTCTCTGTGTCTGCTGCTGCCCTTACAGCCACCCTCACTCAAGTCTACCTCTTAATATCCTCAAACCAAGACATGGATAGTTGTCTCCAGTATTGCATTACCTCAAAAAAAAAAATCCTGGTAAGAGAAAAGATGGAATTATACCTTTCCCAGTCTACCCCTGTAGATTAAATAAAGGTTCAGTTCTGAATTACCTGTAGGTTAACTAGATCAATATACACCTGGGCACATGGCCGAATGGTTAGAACATTTGCATTCTGACCATGAGACCTGGGTTCGAATATCACCATAAATTTGTCGAGAAGGAGACTTCCTGATGTTATCAGACTGGAGGGGTCGATCCCAGCATGCAGCACCTTTGGAAAGTGCCTGAAAAACCATACCACGGGTTGACCCAAGCCCTGTGAGTGAAATTGGGTAGACAGAACTCTTGGGTGCCATCGATAGCTATACTAACACAAAATCACAAGTCATCGTGGCCAAGGGCTTGAGCGTGCTGTCCTTGCTCAAATTGTTGATCACACTAGATAACACACTCTCTCTCCCAGAAACTGTAACTAACATCTGCTCAGTATAGTTACAGTATAAACCACAGGTGGGCTCTGTGGGTGTTGAATAAACACAAATGCACCTGAGCAAGCATCTACAATAGGAATTGGCTAGCAGCTCCAGTAGATGGGTATCCTTGAATATGAGTGGCCAGCTATACATCTATACACCTGAGGGAGGGCAGAGGGAACAACAGCCAAAATGTAGATGGGGACAATAGTTTGAATACAGATAATTGTCTTAACTGAGTTATCAAAATAACAGTAGAAAACAGGAATTGGTTTAACAGCAAGTTTATTAACTTAGAGGACTTAAGACCCCCCCCAGAGAAGAACATGACTAAAGACTGTGTATATACCATCCCATGCAGCTGTGGAAAGAAATATAAAGGGGAGACGGGCCACCCCTTTAAGGTAAGGCTTCAAGAACACGAAAAAGCTGTAACACAAATGGAAGTGGAAAAATTAGGCATGGCTGACCAACATACGAAGAGAAAAGGAAAATCACTGCCCTTTGTGGGATTAGGTTGAAATCATAGACAAAGAACATCATTGGAAAATTTGTAAACTTAAGGAATCAGCACATATGCTAGGCCAAAAAAAAATCTCCTGAGCCGACCAAGCATAGAAATGAATACAATATGGGAACCAGTAATAAGGAGTGCTAGAGAAAAGCAATAATAACAACGAAAATTGCAATATGATCTCTGGTAAAAATCATGCAATAATAACAGCAAAAATTGCAATATGAACACTGGAAAAAAATGGTTGCTGAAGACATTAGGTTTATAATACCCAGAAATTGATACACAGATGTCCTCAAGGACACATAGCACAGTGGATAAAGTGGATGCAACACCTGTTGTTTTAATTGTTAAGAAGTTGTTCATTCCATAACATATTCTGTGTTTCATTTATTTCTTTTTCCATCTTGCAACACCTGTTGTTTTAATTGCTAAGAAGTTTGAATTGAATACCTGTTGTTTTAATCACAAAGTAATGAAGTCCAATACTGTAAAGCGTTCTGCTCTTTTTTTCTTTTTTATGTCTTGCAGCCCCTGTCGTTTTAATCGCAAAGAAGAACTCCAATTCCGGTTTCAGAAAATATCATCTTTTAACAAAAGGATGCAGTATGCATTTGTTGAACTTATGGTCAACTTATTCAGGTAAAAATCTGTAACATTTCATTTTTTTATTTATTTATTATTCATAAGAATTAATTGCTAGTGCTTATTTCTGTATCTTTCACACTAAATCTGAACTGATTTTATCAGTATTAATTTAAAAAAACTGATTTTATCAGTATTCATTTAAAAAAACTGATTTTATCAGTAATAATTTAAAAAAAAATAACTGAGTCATGTTTGTGTTTTTTGTACAGAAAAAAATTGTAACAATTTGTATCAGTGGTCAAAATTCTCCCATGTTGCATGCTGTTTTTATAAAAATTGATGCATGTTGAAATCCTCGATATATTCAGTATTGTTGAAGTTATTGCTAGCATTTTGTGTCGAGATTTACAAACTCTAGGTTTTGTTCAATTTCACAAACGAATCAATGAAATTTGAATAACTTATTTGTTTGGAAAAATACTTTGACAAAAACCCTACTTCATGGTTTAATAATTTCTTAAATAGGACTTCATGGTAATATATATATATATATATATATATATATATATATATATATATACAAACTCTAGGTTTTGTTCAATTTCACAAACAAATCAATGAAATTTGAATAACCTATTTGTTTGGAAAAATACTTTGACAAAAACCCTACTCCATGGTTTTTATGCACCCTAGTAAAACCAACTGTACTTTGTACCCCATTACCAGTTTGCATTTTTCCCCCAAATTTGGTTTTGATTGGTCAATGTATGACTATTTTAGAGGTTGTGATGGACAGATGGAAGTCACAAAATTTTATATACTAGAATTTTTTTTGCAACATGCTGATATGTAGTAAAATCCTCACAGTATTTTGTATTGTTGAAGTTATTGCTAACATTTTTTGTTGAGATTTACAAACTTTACTTTACGTTTTGTTCAATTTCACAAACCAAGTGATGAAGTTTGAATAAGCTGATTTGTTTTGGAAAATACTTTGACAAAACCCCAACTGTGTGGTTTAATAATTTAATTTAATTTTATAGGACTTCATGTTAATATTTTTTAAGAAAATTTATTTTTTTCCTTTTTGATATGAAGAATAAATTTTTAGGATTTCTTACTCTTGAGCATGCAACATACAACTGATCTGCATAAATATTTCTTTCTGAAGCCAAATTCTAACTTTTTGAAGAAATTTGATCTTGTGATCTATCCTATCTGGCATGCTCTTGTCTCAAATGAAACTTAAATAACAATATCAATAATTTACTTCCAGAGACATTGCCCCAGAATGCAAAGCTGATCTGAAATGTTTCAAGCAAAATAATTTTCTACAAAAACAGCTTCCTGCAAATATTCCTTTTTATACAGAAGTAAGTATCCTTCAGCATGTTTGCTAACATTATCGATAACATTCTCAAGCAAATGTTTGAGGCAACTAGTGTCGAATGAATTAAAGCATTTTAAAATTGCCATTTAAGATTTTAATTTGAAAGTTAAAAAGAAACAAATGACAAATCAAAGAATGTATTAATCTGAAAATTTTTTAAATATATTTTTGAATATGACAGGAGTAGATAGGTTTGCCTATTGTCCAGTTAATACTGATTTTTTGAACAGGTGTAGAGGTTTATCTCTTACTAGCAGTAGAGCCCGGCGTTGCCCGGGGATGTAACAGTAAGAGATAGATCAAGTATTGACCATCATAAAGACTGAAAAATAAAATTGACAAAGATTATTGTTTAAGGTTGACGGACACACATGTCTTAATTAATTTTTTTTTTTTTTTTAATTTTTTTTTTTTTTATTTAATTGGTCAAACCCAAACTCAAACAAAAACATTGTTTTCAATCGTTATGAGTCTCTACCGATTGAATAGAATTTTTATTATAAACAATTGTCTTGTAAATGGAATTTTAAAGCATTCTGAATGTAAAAATAAAGAAAAAAGTGTACAAGACAATAAGAAACTACCTGCCAAAAAAAAAGTGAAATTTTGTTAAAATCGGTTGAAAAATGTAGGAAATCCGATCCCATATATAAACGAACACACACACACAACCAACCAACCTGGGTTTTATAATAAGTATAACTCGATACCCGATATTAATAAGTATAACTTGATATGATTTGTCCCCCCTTTCATTAATGCCTCTTAATCGTGTTTTCAAATTGATTTCATGCAAAAACAATTGTGTTTTTTTCAATTTGGGGGCTGTCAGAACCACATAAAAGGTAATTTTACATAGTCCCTGTGAAGTTTTGTTGAAATCGTTGAAAAAATGTAGGAAATCTGATCCAATATATAAATGTACAGACACACACACACACACACACACACACACCCAATCTGTGTTTTATAATAAGTAAGATTTTCTGTTTAAAATTGGGTTTCCAGTTCTGTCTAAAGTCTTCATTTTGTTTCACTCTCAGTAACCTCTTTTCTCATAGTGGCATTATCGCCTTGTTTGGGGTGAATTGATTAAAAAAAATTAATAATAAATACTATAGTTGTCATGGTTTCTGATATTATTGTTATTGTTATACACATGTACAGATGGACTGGGAAATAAGAAAACTACCAATGTCACCAGGAATACACATCTCTGATGAAGCTTTCTTCTATACTACAAAGGTGTTTTTAGATATGCTGTATTAGTGAACAATAACCAGAACAAGGACAATTTTTGTGAGCACTTAACATTAAATGTCTAAACAAATATACAGAGTGTTCTTGTAAAATATACAAATAGTAAGTGTGGGAAAGAGAAGGGTAAAAAATGTATTAAAAGAGAACAATCTTTTTCTTTTATATGCCGTGTCCCTTCGTTTGCGATATTTACATTTTTCAAACAGTTGTTTTAGTCTTTGTCATATTCATGATGTTTCAGACATACAATCTGTTCTTCTGTTGATATACGTTGGAATTTTGAACCGAACACTTTATCTTGTTAGATTGTTCCAGTTCCATGTTTTTCTAGATATCTCAATTTCAGCTATTTCCCTTTAGTATCTGTTGTAGCATACCTATGGACAATAATGGTTATGTCCCCATTCACATAAATACAGTAGTGAATACTGTATGTTGGTCTACAGTTGGAAATTCATTATGGAATTCACTTGACTCATGTCTAGCAGTTGATTTCTACATGCTGCTGGCAAATCTTATATGTGTTGTTCTTGTCCTAAGTTTTATTGTTCATTACCAACTTTAGTTTGATTATTCTATTCAGTAACCTTCCCTAGGTTACAACACTTTCTTTCTTACTTTCTTTCTTTCATCTCGTTTTTTTCTTTATTTTTCCATTTTTCTCATTTCTTCCTTTGTTTTTATCTCCTTTCTTTCTTTCTTTCTTTCGTAGCATACCTACAGATGATTTATGTCCCCATTCCCATACAGTAGTGAATACTGTACGTGGTCTAGAGTTGGAGATTCATTGTGAAATTCACTTGACTCAATTCTAGCAGTTGACTACTTCTTCTACACACCACTGGTAAATCTTATATGTGTTGTTCTTGTCCTAAGTATTATCGTTCATTACCAGCCTTTGTTTGATTATTCTATTCAGTAACCTTCCCTGGGTTACAACAGCAACTCAACCTTCCAAATTTTTTGTTCACCTCTGTTGTGCCTTGGTATTGAACTCACAACTCTTTGGGTCAAATCACTGGATTACTTCAACCAACACTTTTATCCACTAAGCCATGTGGACACTGAAGAAGAAAGCTGAAGCGCACAATGACCGAAACATTGTGAATATCGCAATAAAGATAAGGTCAACATTCCGAACAATGTAATTATTGTAAATAGTTACAATACCTGATCTCAGAAATATAGACAGCTCATAAATTTATCTTTGTTTACTTGTAGGTGATGAAAACTACACTTTTTCAGGAATTTCTAGACAACATCCTTTCTAAAAAGCCTTCATTTTGGTCAGAACTGGAGTTGAAGACACGAACATTATCAAGAAAATCTGGATTCTCCCAAAATGTCTTTGTTTCCAAGTAAGATTTCTATTTGTCCATCTTTTTAAGATCTCTTCTCTGATCTAGCTCTACCAGTGTCAGATCTATTATGAAACTAATGAAGTTTAAGCTATAGGCCACCTATTCCCAGAAAATTCAAAATTTGTTAAGAGAACAAACATTTAAAACTATTAGTCTTTACGTTTTTTCTATTTCCTCACCCTTCAATGCTCAACCAAAATATACACTCACAAGTAATCAAAACAAACATTTCTTTCACGTTCTTTACCAGTGGCAGTTCTACTATGAAATTAATGAAGCTTACGCTTCAAGGCCCCTAATCCCAGAAGGGCCCCTGAAGCAACTTTTTTAGAGAGAATTTTTCAACAAAATCAATGTTTTTTGTTTTTTTAATGTTTATTAAAATAAGGGCATTTTAGTGATAGAATCTTAAGCCAATGGTTTGAAGTAGCTAATGTTGGCCTTAGAATTTGCTCTCATACCCATTTCATATGGCCTTAAAATTCCCTTGTAATTGGTCAAATTTTGGCAGATGCTCAAATCTATTCTTGCTGGTTGTGAAGAGTCCTCCATATCTGTTCAAAGCTTCAGGTTCTCAAGAATGTAGATCTGCCATTGAGTTTTATCTGGGAAAACTGGCTTCCATTCACTGCTTCTTCCATAGAACCACTGCTTTGTGGAACAGACTCCTGCATGGTGTTTCCTCGAAACATTACAGTCTTAAACTTTTCAAGTATTGGGTTAATCTTTATCAATACCTTCATTTCCTACTTTCTCCTATATTCATATTGCACACCTCATTCAGTAACTCTCTACCTTGAGTGCCTCTTGAGCTTTGTATTGGCTGAACATTGGTAAAAAAAAATATGTCAAATATTCCCAAGTGGTATGATGCAAAGCTGACTGAGTCACTCTAGTCAGATAGCTCATGCTAGTCACCTTTAGCTTATTTTCCTGAAATTTTGTTTGCATTTTTGATGAACCTCCATGCTTTGAATGTCTATTGGGTTTTTCAGTTCAGACACCAAGGGGAAGCTATATATATATATATATATATATATATATATGATTCTTTGATAAAGATCCTGGGAAAATGGTTGGCACATTCTATTGCTCCAAGAAGTACCTGACTCCCTCTGCCTCAGTGTTACATTTATTCATGCCATAACCTGTAACCAAAAATAGCCTAAAAACAGCTAGCATAAGTAATTCATCTTGAGGGACTCAGTTACATTTATTGATACCATGATCTGTAACTGATAATAGGATAAAGGCGGCTAGCATATGCTATCTGGTTTGAGGAATTTGGTTACATTTATTACGAGTCAGTAAGGAGTAAAAGCTTTTATTAAAAGTTTTCTGAAGATTATCAAATGTTATATCCACCTTGGAGGAAGATTGTCAAGTGCTTTGATTGAGTTTAAAGTAATGAAGGCTAGTGGGAAAAATTCTGATGTTCCTCGTATAGTAACCATGTGTGATCAAAGATGACTGGAATTTGAGTTAGTAAATTGTGAAAAAAATTTTATAGAAGACCCTCCCAAATTCACGATGTTCAAAGCCTTAAAACTGACCTCTATCAATATAACTCCAACAGTTCAATGGCAAAAACTAAAACTGGCTTGTAATTTTCAATACCTCAAAAAGCGAATAAGTATCATTTGATCATCAATCAAAGCCTGAGTTTTCTCCAGTCACAGTAAATGTTTGCATTCTGGATGAGGCTTAACTGCTTTGGTTATCTATTGAGTCTTAAGTTCACTTCAGATGTCAAGGGGAACTCATATATGTAATCCATTGATCAAGATGCTGGAAAAATGGTTGGCTCATTCTACCTGACTTTCTCTATATCATTTTAAAAATCAGATCAGACCAAAAATGGAGGATTACTGCCATATCTGGGCTGGAGCTGAACAATCCTCAATTTCCAGTCCTTCTGCCTTGCGTCACCTTTACAAAAGTCAGCTTAAACCCTAAAATGGTGTATTGTGGTCATATCTGGATTGGAGCTGCTCAATCCTCACTTTCCTGGCCTTCTGCTACTCTTTGCAAGAGACAGATTAGACCAAAAAATAGAGTATTTCTGCCATGTTTGTCCCAGTGTTGCTCAATTCTAAATTTCCAGTCCTTCTGATTAGACCAACAATGGAGTATTGCTGCTATTTCTGAGCTGGAGCTGCTCAATCCTCACTTCCCTATCCTTCTGCCACACTTTATACAAGTCAGCTTTGATCAAAAGTGGAGTACTGCTGCAATCTCTGGGCTGGTGTTAATCAATCCAGTTCTTCTCCCATGATTCATCTTTACAAAATTCAGATAAGACCAGATAAGACTGCTATTTTGGAGCTGGAGCTACACAATCCTCACTTTCCAGGTCTTCTGCCACAATTCGTCTTTACAAGAGTCTGCTTAGATCAAAAATGACATATTTCTGCCATCTCTGGGCTGGAGCCTGTTTTCCAGAGTTCAAAATCGTTTACATAGTCTCATCAGGGAAGACTCTTTTTCATTCTGCAACCTCTTTTTCATTCTGCAACCTCTTTCTCACAGACACAACATTGCTAGTCAAATGTTGTTCAAATGAACTCCACTCCCTAGTTCCATTTTAACTGCTAAAACATGCGATGTTACTTCCATGCGGTTGAATCATCTTCATTTCCCCCATATTCCAAATGCATCGAGAAAGTTATACTTAGACAGCTTGTTCCCCAAGAATTGCTGCTTTGTAGAAGAGACTCCGGAACTCTACAATTTTAATGTTTTCAAGTCAAAGGTCAATTGTTATCTATCCCTCATATCCTCATAATCTTCACTTCCACCTCTATCATTCATATCACATATCTCATTCATCATAACTATTTTGATAGTACCTTCTACCTTTAGTGGCTATCAAGCCTGGTAGTGTGTATACTTTAGTATTAAAAAAGAATTGCTAAACTTGTTTATTTATCTTCATAACTGTTGTTGAGGTTCAGTGTGTTCCTCCCACATTTCAGTAAACACCGGTAATTACACCGCTCACTCTAGTGGTAAGCTCGAAGCTAATGTCCAGCTTCCGGACAAAAATAAACAGAGTTGTAACTTAATACGAACCTCTATAACAGTGCACGTCACCATGGTCCCAACTGCACTCCCAGCCAAAATGTCCCAGACCAGTTTTATTGACCAAAAATACGGCCAATGCACTAATCATCGTCGTTGGCCTCGTTCTCAATCAGAGTCCCCAGCTCGACCAATCAGCATGCAGACCGCCACTAGACAAATCGTGCCAAGCAGCATAAAATAAATAAATGTTGGAGAATTTACTTTTCTTGGACCAAACTTGTGAGAGGAAAGTTTGTAGCTGACGAAATGACGAACTGTCTAGCTTGGTTTTAAGCACATATCCATCATAAAACAGCAGCCCGACAAGCAAAACATGTTGGAAGCTTTGAATCCGGTAAGTGTGAATATGTATCGTCACAATAACATTTTTGGAATTTGACAGATTGAAGTAGCATTCAGCTTTTTGGGATGTTGTAAACATATAACCATGACCCTCATTTAGTTTTTCATGTGAATGAACAGCTTCACTCGTTGATTTTTTTCGATTCCCATCTGAGTTGATATGAACAAACATTGTGTTTGGCAAAAGGAAAGGCCATATCACCACCATGACAAGAAAGGAAAATATTAATGCTTGGCTCATCTGGCACAGTCTGGGATCTGGTAGGTAAGTGACACTTGGGACATTTTTGTTGCTATTTCTGTCCTCTGTCATGACAGACTAATGGACCAGATCTTCTCTTCAGTCAGTGATAACTCTGTCTAGCTGTCTTAGGGCTGATGCAAGGGGGCTAAGTACTTATAGGGATCTTATAATTCAATCCGCACCAGCCATGTGGTAACCACCATATTTTGGAAGGAAAAACAAAACAGTAGTTGCTGTACACTTTCTTAGAAAGAAGGCATAAAAGGAATTATACCAACTCTGCTGTCTCTCTTTAGAAAAAGGACTTGTACTCCTCCTCTCGAATTCTGGTTAGACATCTCACAAGGTAGATTGTAACACATCAGTTGCCTGTTCTTGGCAATTTTTTTGCATTAGCATATGCAACTTGAAACCTTTGTTTTTTCTTTCAGTATTTCATGGTGCTTGTAGAGACAGAAAATAAATTCACTTTTCAAGCATCCGTTGATTCTTAGAGTTGTCTTTACCAGGAGAAAAATCTCATGAGCGGTAACACTCTACCACTCTACCAATCCCCAACTGCATTTGTCTCTGACTGTTGATGACCATCACACTACTCACATGTCCCTTCCCTTTCATTGTCCAACATTTTGTTTTACTAGTATCTTCATGAATTACGGAAATAGGAAAGGGATTGAAACTGAGATGCCAGGTCAGGAGTGATAACATTGCAGATTTTTTTGTGATGTCAACGAACACGCATTTGACACTTTTGTGATGCCAATGAATACTTGGCACTTTCATAATGCTTGTTGTAGGAGAGACTTTGGTAATTGCAGATACAAATATAGTACACCGTTGAACAATGCTGGCGTCAGATGCCTTCGAATAACACTCGTACTAATAGTACTCAACCGATAATACTCATTCAAATAGTGATCCTAATAGAGAAATAACATAGTGAATAGAGTGGAGAATAGTGGTCCATATAGTGATAGAGGAGAAATAGCGATCTGAATAGTAATAGGGGATAGAGTAGAAATAGCGTTCCAAATAGTAATAGATGATAGAGTTGATGTGATAGTTAGTTGTTAGCTACTTCCTAAATATATGCATTTCCTCTATCGTCACATGGTCCACTTAATTCAATAATGGGATTGCCTGTGTTTACTCACTGGCGATCTATGTTCAAACTCAAGTATCGGCAGTGACACTTTATTCTTATAGAAAAAGTTTCTCATTTGGATTTTATCGAGAACCACTCAATAGAGCAGAAGCAGCAGACCAGATGTGGCCACAATATTCAATGCACAGATGGACAAATGATGAAATGAGCAAGATAGATTCTGGCGGGAAAAATTTTCTAGCACAACAGAGGGAACCACTTTTTCTAGAAGCGAACAGAACAATTGATAGAAATCCTAAATATGAAGGTGCAATGAGTCACTTTCTTGATTATTTTTTTTTTTAAATTTTTCTCCAATCATTTAACCCCAAGCAAGGCAACATTGCCACTGAGACACAAGAGGAGGTCACAGGGAGTGGAAGAGAATAAGAAGACAGAGAATGGGGAGGATTGAGGAAAGGACAAAAAATAGAAACAGTGTTCAAGAAGATAGAAGATGGCGATTGATGTTGCATTGAAATTTTTGAAGATTGTAGTTATCAGGGAAGCAAGAAATAAGAAGAAATAGTTTCACAGGTGGGAAGTGCTAGAAACGAAACAGAATAGAAGTGGTGGTTGCATCTATGTAGAGCAAAAACCATAGAGAACTAATTGCCAATTTAGTAGCGCACTTAAATTCATGTAGTCAGGGCACTAGGGAAAAAAATATCACCACAGCAATTGCCATGAAAATATTTGTAGAAAAGACAAAGTGCTTAAAACATTTGCTGTATATCAAAAAAATTGAATAAATTTTAATGCATTTACTTGACTTGTTGTTATGCTCATTTTTTGGAATATATAAAATAAAATAATAGTAAAAAAAATAATAATAAGCTGTAATAAAACCTATAACAAAATAATAGAAATAATAAAGAGTTCATCAACCCAAAGTGTTGGGATAAAATGCAAAAATAATAAGATGGAATAAAACTAGTAATAGAATAATAGTAATAATGAAGAGTGTATAGAGCCAGAGTGTTGATATAAAAAGTAACAATAATAAGATGGAATAAAACTAGTAATAAAATAATAGTAATAATGAAGAGTGTATTGAGGCAGAATGTTGGGATAAAAAGTAGCAATAATAAGATGGAATAAAACTAGTAATAAAATAATAGTAATAATGAAGAGTGTATAGAGCCAGAATGTTGATATAAAAAGTAACAATAATAAGATGGAATAAAACTAGTAATAAAATAATAGTAATAATGAAGAGTGTATAGAGCCAGAGTGTTGGGATAAAAAGCAACAATAAGAAGATGAAATAAAACTAGTAATAAAATAATAGTAATAATGAAGAGTGTATTGAGGCAGAATGTTGGGATAAAAAGTAGCAATAATAAGATGGAATAAAACTAGTAATAAAATAATAGTAATAATGAAGAGTGTATAGAGCCAGAATGTTGATATAAAAAGTAACAATAATAAGATGGAATAAAACTAGTAATAAAATAATAGTAATAATGAAGAGTGTATTGAGCCAGAGATTAAAACTAGTAATAAAATAATTGTAATAATAATGAACAGGGGTCGGCAACCTACTGCACACATGCCACACATGGCACACCAAGCAATTTCCAATGGCATGCAGCCAGAAATATCATCATAAAGTCTGAACCAATAATTACTACAATGCAAAGAAAATATTTAGCTGTTTCAAAACTGCTCAGTCATTGGACTCCCATTAATAATAAAAACTTTAAAAAAAGAAATTTAAAACCTTTATTTCTATTAATGTGGTTTGCATATTATTGTATATATTACTATATAAAATATATTGTAGAACCGGTATATTGACCTTGACTTGTATAAAAATACATACACTTTTGGCACACGGAATGATTTTAAAACCCTAAGTCAGCACATTGTCAGCAAAAGGTTGCCGACCTCTGGTCTATACTTTATTTCCACCGATTAACACTGTTTTTCTGATTTTAGTGCCCACAGTATGACTGGTACCAAACAAGGACTGGTTTCCACATCTATTGAAGAATTACCAAATGAATTCATATTCTTTATCCCTTCCATTTACAACGCAGTGTCTTGTACTGAATATCTGAAAGATTGTATCAAAGTTTGTACAGAAAAACTCCAGGTTAGTTTCTCTTATCCAATCACTTCTTTTAACACATTTAATCATTAGTTACATTCAGACTATTATCCTCATCATTGTTATTGTTATCACAACATTTTGGTGGTTATGCCCTCTAATCTTTATCAGGTTTATATCGATCTGGGTAACCTACAGGGAATTCTGAATTGTACAGTTCAGGATTCCCTCTTCAGCGAACAGAATTCAGAATTCCCTGTAGGTTACCCAGATCGATGTACAGCAGATGAAGGCCAGAGGGC